TTCCTTTCCATTCCATTTTCTTTCCTTTCCCCTTTCCCTTCCCTTTTCCTTTCCCTTTTCCTTTTCCCTTACCCTTTCCTTTTTCCTTTCCCTTCTTTTTCCTTTCATTTTTCTTCCCTTTCCTTTCTTTTCTTTTTTTCTTTCCTTCCTTTTTAGACCCCTGATTTCTCATGTAAGCCCGCCAACGGGGCTCCTGAAAATAATTGTAAAAAATATTAAAAATTTTTATTAAAAGAACTACTGACACCAGAGGCGGAACTGCCGGGGTCACAAAGGTCGCACTTGCGACTGGGCCCTGACATTCCGCCTCTGGGCTCAGGGGGAAGGGGTTCAGGGGAGCCCTCCATGGTTTCTTGCACCATTGCCCTGAATGTTCTAGTTATGCCACTGCACTGTGCTGCCCATTTTTCTAACCCTTTGTTTTTTGACGCTAAAGCAGCCCATAGATGACTCAATTTTCTTTCTTTCCTCCACAGGGGGGTGTCAAGGTCCTACCTTTTCCCTGAGGTTATGTTACTCCATGTGCTGGCGTCCATCTTGGATTCTGCTGTGCATGATGGGAATCCTTTTTATGCCTTCAGGTCTCTGAGGTCCACCCCCCAGAGGGGCGTGGCTGATGACATATAAGCCTGTGGCCCGCACATGCTCTTTGCACTTGTGTCTTGTGTTTTGGTGTTACTATTACTCTGTTCTGACTCTCGTGACTCTCCTGGTATTCTGATTCGGCTTGTGACTTGACTATTCTTTGTATTCTCCTTTGATCTGACCCTCTGTTGCTGAACCCGGCTCGTGACCTGTGATTCTCGTCTGCTGTCCTGTACTGTTTTGTCCTGTTGTTGTTGACCCCGGCTTGTCTGACTACTCTTTTGTTTCTTCCACCAGCTACACGCCATTGGCGGCGGCCATTACCGCAGCTGAGGTGTCTCGGGGGCCGCGACCTGGTTCCTGGCTGCGTCAAGTCCATCCCCACCATCAGGGGCCCTGGTGAAGGGCAGCCTGGGACTTAGACTCCGCGCCCTGAGGGACTTCGGTCTGTGGGTGGTGGTTGTCGTCAGCCAGTGCGTTACATTGTTAGGCCTGCCTGTCCGTTCCTCGGCTCCTGCCCTGACAGGGGGAAAGAAAGAAAATCACTTGAATTCCCTATCAATCAAGTTAGTGTTGATGGGGGAATTCCTCCAGCAGTACTATTGTCTATTGCTGGGAAAGGGGGAAGGTGAACGGGGTTATAGCAATCATGCACATAGAGATGGACGCGGTCATCTATTTTGCTCCAAACCCTTCCATCTTGTATCTCTCTCTCTCAAATCAGATTCCTCCGATATCCCCCCTCCCTCTCTGTTGAGTGACATGTGGTCTGGATGATGACAGAGATCACAGGCAGCAAACTCATTGGGAGGGCGTCGTGGCTATAAACCCCACTAGCTGGTGCCCCTCTGTCTGCGAGACTCTTGCTGGAGAAGGGATTGTAAAACCATAAACCAAGCCCTCACTGAGCTTCAAAGACATTCCAGGTAGTCGTAAAAACAGACCTACATTTAAAAACTCACTTTTCCATATAATTTAATATCTTCAAATAGGACATAATTACATAAACATGGAGCACATATTTGGACGGCTCACTTTAATACAAGTCGCCTGATATATTACATCCCCTAGCTAGCATATACAAGAGAGCTGTCAGGAATGGACTCAGCACTGGTGGTGGGACTCACCTGCCGTGTGGGCTGCAGTACCAGGGCTGACCAGCGGGTGCTCTCAGCAGCCAGAAGCTCACTCCTGCAGTCAGCCAACACCTGGGGCTGATTGCAGGAGGTGTATTTCAGGAATGACCAGGCCTGTGATCAGTGCCTTGGTGTATGTTTACCATGAGCCCCTGTACCTGGTATCCTGTGGCCTGCCTAGTTGCTGACCCTGCTTTGATCCTGACCTCTGCTGACCGTCTCCTGTTGAACCCCTGGCTTGCCTGACCATCCTTCTGCCTGATCCACTGTACCGAGCTGCCCATGAGTTACTGAACCCGGCTTGTGACCCCGACTATTCTCTGCCTGCTCCTCCGGTACCTCCTCACTGCCCACACGTTGCTGACCTGGGTGCCTGACTACGCCTGACGCTACCCAGACGATCCATCCATCCCACACGGATCCAGTCACTACTGTCCAAACCTGCCAGCCCCTTCACATCAGGCTTTCCCCCGGTACATACCCTCGGCGGACCCCTCTACCACAGTTGGGTGCACTCAGGGGCCGCAACCTGGTCTCAGTCCTGTGCCAAGTCCATCCCCACCATCAGGGGCTCTGGTGAAAAGGCAGACTGGGGCTTAGACTCCGCGCCCTGGGGAATCCTGGTCTGTGGGTCACTAGAGATCCCGCCAGGCGGTGCCTTACAGTACCTTATGGCCCGCCTGACCATTCCACCTCTCCAGCCCTGACTACGCCTGTGTTCCTAAAGCCTGCTACTTCCCTGTGTCAGTCCACACATTTCTGGTCATGGTCATACCCGGATCCCTAACAAGAGCAGAAAATTATATCTCCTTAACCATCCAAGCAGGTATCTCATATTTCATACCTAGACGTTCAGCCGGTGATTCTGAGTATTAATCTACTAGTGGCAAGGCTGCTAAATGCACTGAGAATAAGTTGAACCATGACATCAAATGTGAGGGTTTTTGGTCATAGCTTGGGTCTCCGCCTGCTACACCCGCCCAAATGAGGCGATTGGTTCTCTGCTTCAGGGAGACACCCTGCTGAGTTCCTAGAAAAAGCTGAGCTAAGCTGAGTTAAGTTGAAGATTCTCTCTTTTAATATTGGAACTAACTTTGGGAGATAAAGCATCCTTTTGGCTCATGAAACCTAATCTGCTTAAACCAAGACGTTTGGCAAGTACTTTACCTCCCTAAATTCCTTTCTGTTATCACTTTGCTGTGTTATTGCTTTCTGTATATTTATATATATATTGGCTACATCTTTTTCTGTAAATATTTTTATTGCACCCTTTTGACCTTTTAGTAATAAATCTTACTTTCTGAAAGTGTTGAACTGTTTCTAAAGCTCTTTAATGCAAACTAAGAATCCCTGCCTCTGAAGAGCGCTACTGTGTGTGTGTTTTAAACTTCGGTATATCTCTCCCTGCGGTGACAGTGATATACCGACGCATATGCAAACATCATAGTGTTATTGCTGATATTGCCGAGTTTCCTCTTTCTCTGTACAAAAAGGTGGTAGTGGCAGTGTGAAGGGTTAATTGCGTAATTAACCTGACCCAGTAACAATCGCTCCCAGGCTGCAAGTACACAGATTGTGGTCCACTAGCTGGAAAATCTTTGTGCAGAGTGCAGCTGGGCATGGCATTGTTACGCACGTGACAGTGCGGTTTTAGATTGGCTAGTCCTTCGGTCACGAGTTTGGTGAGAAGGGCTGGGGTCTGACGCCGCGATCGTCACAGGGGTGCCTTCCTGGTGGGCAGAACATATTGGTTAATTCCAGCAGCAATAAAAAAAACTGACAAACTGGTTGTACCCAAGTCAATCGATGGATCCACTTGGGTACAATCAGCCTGCCTATACGTGGATCGAATCTTGGCCAGTCCCTGTTGAACCGGTCAAATTTCGATCCATGTAAGGCTGGCTGTGGACACTTAGACCAAGTCCATGTATCAGTTACCATCATATGACTATACGAGGGGTTTGGTGTTTTGTCTACACATTGTAGCCTCCCTGTTTCCTTTTACCCTTTGGTAGGGCAAACCTGAGGGCCACAACCTGGTATCAGCATGCAGCAAAATCCATCCCCACCATCAGGAGTTCTGGGGAAAAATGGCTTAGACTTTGCGCCTTGGATAAGCCTGTGCCACCCTCCATGGGGGCGATGCTGTAGCAGACATCAAATAAACGCAACTGTTAAAAAAAAAAGCAATAAAAGTAAAAAGTCACAGTGCATGCTGTGCTGGAATATCACACTTTGCACTTATTTCACAATTTAACCACATCCCTATTGCCCTATAGCCTATTGCCCTATAGCGGACTGACCAATACTCGGGCAGCTACAGGGCGGGGCAGTAGGGGGGGAGATGCGCAAAATATATGTGATTTTGCAATTTCGGGTAGGGGGCGACACAGGGGCCCCATGCCATAGGTGGCCTCAGTTGTCGATCACTGCCATAGGGGTCCCGGCTGGTGATTCCCCACCAGCACCCGACGATCGCCGAGCATCACTGACGGGGGAGAGGTCTGTATGTAAACAACACAGATCTCTCCCCTGGCAACTCCTGCACACTGCTTTGTATGGCTCTACATAGCAGAGCCATACAAAGCAGCATGCTTACACAGTGAGGCTGCATTCACACTGGAGCGTTTTGTAGGTCGAAGTTCCAAAAAAGCTCAAACTCAAAAAGATCAATTGTTCTCTATGGTGCTTGTTCACACCTGATCACGCGAACAGACACCATAGAGAACAATTGATTTTTTTAAATTTGAGAGCTTTTGGAGCTTCAACCTACAAAATGCTCAAGTGTGAATGCAGCCTATAATACTCCTAGCACACAGTTAACCCTTTGATCGCCCCAGATGTTACCCCCCTTCCTGCCCAGTGCCATTAGTACAGTGTCAGTGCTTTTTATTAGCACTGATCACTGCATTGGTGTCATTGGGGATGTCAGTGACACCAAGTTGGTTCCCCTCAGTGTCAGAATGCCCGCCGCAGTCCCACTATAAGTCGCTGATCGCCAGCATTACTGGTATAAAAAAAGAAAACAAAAAATCCCAGTATCTATACCGCCATTTGTAGACGCTATAATGTTCACGTAAACCGATTAATTTACCCGTATTGGGATTTTGGGGGACTGACTAACTGCACAGCAATACAAAGCAGCATGCTTACATGAATTTATGACGAAATTCGATGTTTAATAGCAAAAAGTCACAAATACCTGCAGCCGCACCACCCACACAGAGGAATGCGGGACCCCCACAGAAACCTGCAGCCGCACCACCCACACAGAGGAATGCGGGACCCCCACCAATACCTGCAGCCGCACCACCCACACAGAGGAATGGGGACCCCCCACAGATACCTGCAGCCGCACCACCCACACAGAGGAATGGGGGACCCCCACAGATACCTGCAGCCGCACCACCCACACAGAGGAATGCGGGACACCCACAGGAACCTGCAGCCGCACCACCCACAGAGGAATGGGGACCCCCACAGATACCTGCAGCCGCACCACCCACACAGAGGAATGGGGACCCCACAGATACCTGCAGCTGTACCACCCACACAGAGGAATGCGGGACCCCCACCAATACCTGCAGCCGCACCACCCACACAGAGGAATGCGGGACCCCCACCAATACCTGCAGCCGCACCACCCACACAGAGTAATGGGGGACCCCCCACACAAATACCTGCAGCCGCACCACCCACACAGAGGAATGGGGACCCCCACAGATACCTGCAGCCGCACCACCCACACAGAGGAATGCGGGACCCCCACAGATACCTGCAGCCGCACCACCCACACAGAGGAATGGGGACCCCACAGATACCTGCAGCTGTACCACCCAGCACAAAGGAATGTGGGATCCCACAAATACCTGCAGCCGCACCACCCACACAGAGGAATGCGGGACCCCCACAGATACCTGCAGCCACACCACCCACACAGAGGAATGCGGGACCCCCCACAGATACCTGCAGCCACACCACCCACACAGAGGAATGCGGGACCCCCACAGATACCTGCAGCCGCACTACCCACACAGAGGAATGTGGGACCCCCACAGATACCTGCAGCTGTACCACCCACACAGAGGAATGTGGGACCCCACAAATACCTGCAACTGCACCACCCACACAGAGGAATGTGGGACCCCCCACCAATACCTGCAGCCACACCACCCACACAGAGGGATGCAGGACCCCTACAGATACCTGCAGCTGTACCACCTACACAGGGGAATGCGGGACCCCCACCAATACCTGCAGCCACACCACCCACACAGAGGGATGCAGGACCCCTACAGATACCTGCAGTCGCACCACCCACACAGAGGGGAATGCGGGACCCCCCACAAATACCTGCAGCTGTACCACCTACACAGGGGAATGCGGGACCCCCACAAATACCAGCAGCCGCACCACCAACACAGAGGAATGTGGGACCCCACCAATACCTGCAGCCGCACCACCCACACAGAGGAATGGGGACCCCCACAAAAACCTGCAACCGCACCACCAACACAGGGAATGTGGGACCCCCATCAATACCTGCAGCCGCACCACCCACACAGGGGAATGTGGGGACCCCCACAATACCTGCAGCCGCACCACCCACACAGAGGAATGCGGGACCCCCACAAATACCTGCAGCCGCACCACCCACACAGGGGAATGCGGGACCCCACCAATACCTGCAGCCGCACCACCCACACAGAGAATGTGGGGCCCCCACAAATACCTGCAGCCGCACCACCCACACAGAGGAATGCAGGACCCCCACAAATACCTGCAGCCGCACCTCCCACACAGGGAAATGTGGGACCCCCCCACAAATACCTGCAGCCGCACCACCCACACAGAGGAATGTGGGACCCCTACAGATGCCTGCAGCCGCACCACCCACACAGAGGAATGCGGGACCCCCACAAATACCTGCAGCTGCACCACCTACACAGAGGACTGCGGGACCCCCACAAATACCTGCAGCCGCACCACCCACACGGGAATGCGGGACCCCCACAGATACCTGCAGCCACACCACCCACACGGGAATGCGGGACCCCCACAAATACTTGCAGCCGCACCACCCACACAGAGGAATACGGGACCCCACAAATACCTGCAGCCGCACCACCCACACACAGAGGAATGCAGGACGCCCACAAATACCTGCAGCAGCACCACCCACACAGAGGAATGCGGGACCCCCACAGATACCTGCAGCCGCACCACCCACACAGGGGAATGCGGGACCCCCACAGATACCTGCAGCCGCAACACCCACACAGGGGAATGCGGGACCCCCCCCCCACAAATACCTGCAGCCGCACCACCCACACAGGGGAATGTGGGACCCCCACAGATACCTGCAGCTGCACCACCCACACAGAGGAATGCGGGTGCCATTAGTTCTAATGGCATGCTGCCCGCACTGGGAAACGCAACTGTACTGAGAACCTCAGTCCGTGCGGGCTGCGATTTTCCTGCGTACCGCCTGTGTACCTTCGAATGAATGGGCTCTCGTGCAAATCGTTGCCCGCACGGCCACACAGGACTAAATGAGCCCCCAAAGGCAGGGTGACATGTTTCACTCACCGGGTCGGTTTCGCAGTTGCCGAGGTCTCCTCTGTCGCAGCCTTTCAGAGTTTGCTCCAGAGTAATCCACTCTCCTCTAACGGCCAGCTGCAGGATCCTGCGTCCTACCTCGCCGTGCGTGCCGCCGCCTCTCTCTCCGCATCGGACATTTTCTGGCGGTCTCTCTAATAGACTGGAAGGAGGTCAGGTAGCCATGATGACCCGGACGGTGGGACATGGACGGGGCCCCGGCCTCCTGGGTGCTGCTTCTTAGCAGGAGGTAGAGGAAAAGAATCTTCATCATCTATTGACTCCGATCCGGAGCCGCGCACTCCTCCTGTGTATCCCGTTACCTTGGCTCCGGAGGCTGGGAATGGGGGGGAGGGGGGCGATTTGGCATTTTTCTAGCAGAAGAGAACGTCTGTGCAGAATACAAAGGTGACTCTGCTGAACGACAACCACCCCCGCAGCCTGCGACAACCTCGCCGCCCTGCAAGATTCTCATTTATGGCCAGTTCACACTCCATGCGTTTCAGTTGCTTCTTTTTCTGCATCCAAAACGCACAGAAAGTAGGTGATATGGTTGTCAGTGTCATCGTTCAAGTCAGCGCTTGCAGCTCCAGTGCGTTCCGGGTGCAGAAATAAAAATTAGAACAGGCTGCATTTTTCCTGCCTAGAACTGCACTGGAACACAGTAAAACCGCACTGGAACGCACCTGTCCCTATTTACATTGAACAAAAAGAGAGGGGAAAACTGCACTGGAACGGGGTAAAACGCATTAAAAATGCACCGTAACGCACCGGAACACACCAATCCCTATTTAAATGAAAGAAAATGAGAGGGAGGAAAAAAAAATAACCGAAAAGCATAAAAAATGCACCAGAATGCGGCAAAAATGCGTCACAAACACGCATGCAGAAATGCATCGGGAACGCGCCTGGATTGTGTTTCTGTAATGTGACCTGACATGCGTTTCAATTGCTTTTTTCTGCATCCAAAATGCACAGAAAGTAGGTGATATGGTGGCCAGTGTCATAGTTCACATCAGCGCTTGCAGCTCCAGTGCGTTCTGGTAGCAGAATAAAAAATAGAACATGCTGCACTTTTTTCTGCACAGAACTGGACTGGAACGTGGTAAAACGCATCAAAAACGTACCGGAACGCACATGTCCTTGTTTAAATTGAAGAAAATGAGCGGGAGAAAAATTTACCGAAAAGCATAAAAAATGCACCGGAACGCAGCAAAAATGCGTCACAAATACGCATGCATAAATGCATCGGGAACGCGTCTGCATTGTGTTGAACAGGCTGCATTTTTCCTGCACAGAACTGTACTGGAATGCGGTAAAACGCACTGGAACGCACATGTCGATATTTAAGTGGAAAAAAAAGGAGAAAAAAATGAACCGGAAAGCATCAAAATGCATCAAAAACACGCATGCAGAAACGCATCTGGAACACATCTGGACTGCATTTCTGTAGTGTGAACTGACATGCGTTTCAGTTGCTTTTTCTGCGTCCAAAATGCACATAAAGTAGGTGATATGGTGGTCAGTGTCATAGTTCGTATCAGTGCTTGCTGTTCCAGTGCGTTCCGGATGCAGAAAAAAAAGTAGAGCAGGCTGCATTGTTCCTGCACAGAACTGTACTGCAACGTGGAAAAAACGCATCAAAAACGTACTGGAATGCACCAAAAACGCACTGGAAGCCACATGTCCCTGTTTAAATTTTAAAAAATGAGAGGGAGAAAAAATGAACCGAAAAGCATAAAAAATGCACCGGAACGTGGCAAAAATGTGTCACAAACACGCATGCAGAAATGCATCCAGAATGCATCTGGACTGTGTTTCTGTAGTGTGAACTGACATGCGTTTCGGTTGCTTTTTTTCTGCATCCAAAACACACAGAAAGTAGGTGATATGGTGGTCGATGTCATAGTTCACATTGGTGCTTGCAGTAACCGTGCGTTCTGGACATAGAAAAAAAAGTAAAACAGGCTGCATTTTCCTGTGCAGAACTGTACTGGAACGCGGTAAAACACACCAAAAACGCACCGGAACGCACATGTCCCTGTTTAAACTGAAGAAAATGAGACGGAGCAAAAATTAACCAAAAAGCATAAAAAATGCACCGGAACGCAGCAAAAATGCGTCACAAATACGCATGCAGAAATGCATCTGGAATGCGTTTCTATAGTGTGAAATGACATGTGTTTCAGTTGCTTTTTTTCTGCATCCAAAACGCACAGAAAGTAGGTGATATGGTTGTCAGTGTCATAGTTCACATCAGCGCTTGCAGTTCCAGTGCAGAAAAAAAGTAGAACAGGCAGCATTTCTCTGCACAGAACTGTATGGGAACGCGGTAAAACACATTAAAATCACACCGGAACGCACCAAAAACGCACCGGAACGCACATGTCCCTATTTAAATTGAAGAAAAGGAGAGGGCAAAAAATTAACCAAAAAGCATAAAAAAACGCACCAGAAAGCGGCAAAAATGCATAAAAAATGTGCATGCAGAAATGCATCCGGAACACGTCTGGACTGCATTTCTATAGTGTGAACTGACATGCGTTTCAGTCACTTTTTTCTGCATCCAAAACGCACAGAAAGTAGGTGATATGGTGGTCAATGTCATAGTTCACATCAGTGCATGTGGCTCCAGTGCGTTCCGGATACAGAAAAAAAAGTAGAACAGGCGGCATTTTTCCTGCACAGAACTGTACTGGAACACAGTAAAACGCATCCAAAACGCACCGGAACGCACATGTCCCTATTTAATTTGAACAAAAAGAGAGGGGGAAAAAATTAACCAAAAAGCATAAAATACGAACCAGAACACGGCAAAAATGCATCAAAAACGCACATACAGAAACGTATCAGGAACATATCTGGACTGCATTTCTGTAGTGTGAACTGACATACGTTTCAGTCACTTTTATCTGCATCCAAAACGCACAGAAAGTAGGTGATATGGTGGTCAATGTCATCGTTCACATCAGTGCTTGTGGTTCCAGTGCGTTCCGGGTGCAGAAAAAAAAAAGTAGAACAGGCGGCATTCTTCCTGCACAGGACTGTACTGGAACGCAGTAAAACGCATCCGAAATGCACCACGCGGAACGCACATGTCACTATTTAAACTGAACAAAAAGAGAGACAAAAAATGAACCAAAAAGCATAAAAAACGCCCAGAAAATGCAGTCATGGAAACGCATCTACCTTCTATAGTATGAAGCAGCCCTGGCACTGGGGGGTATAAATCTGACCTCCCGTCTCCTCTTCAGTTGCAGCGGCTCCTCTCCTGGACTGAAATGTCTGATTTCGCCGCACACTGTGAGCTTCTCACCATGTGCATTAGAAGCTGCAGCAAGTCAGAGAGAGCTCCGCCTCATTTCCTGGCTGTAGGACACCCAGCGTCATCAAGTCTTTCCTCCCCAGCCTGACTGCCCCTGGCCCCGCCCCTTTCATTCATTGGATATCGGTTCTGTCAATCATGAAGGCTCATCATCACCTGTGGGCGTTACCATTCACATTCAGCCTGCGTAGGAACGCCCACTCTGACTGACACCCACCCATGAAGGCAGAATTCCTCCCGCCGCTCGCTGATGATCGCAATACGTACAGAAACGCTGCGTTTGAAGACATCAGCCAAAGATCAGCGACTTGTACCTTTTGTTTTTTTTCAGCCTGCGGCTGGCTTTCTCATGAAAGTAGCCCGAGCGGCTCGCTAGCCACTAAGGCTCCGTGCATACTGAGTTGTGCATTTTTCAAGCGTTTTTTTTTTTTTTCAGGCGTCTTTGAGTGTTTTTTTGAGCAGATCTGTAAATATTCTAGGCGTTTTTTCCAGGCGTTATTCATTTAGGTTTTTTTTTGCTGTGGCCAATGTTGAGCGTTTGAGTGTCAGGCATTGAGCTGAAAAATGTCCTAGTGTGAATGGAGCCTCAAGCCTTTTTTTTTCCAGGCGTCTTTGAGCATTTTTCTTTTAGCAGATTTTTTGGGTGTTTTTCATTGAGGCGTTTTTGCTGTGGCCAATAGAAATAGCTGCTGTTTGAGCTGAAAACACCTGAAAAAAAATGCTTGAAAAAAGCTCATTTCCGCTGTTCATGCGTTTTCCATTCAAATCTATGAAGGAGAAGACGCTCAGATCTGTCTGAAAAGCAGTGCAATTACTTTTTTTTTTGAGCGGCAGGCGTTTTGCTCTAGGTGACGAAATGCTCATGTGTGAACAAGGGCCATAGAAATGAACTGGATTTTGCTTGTTGATGGTGTTGTCTGGGCCCTTCTCAGACATGGCAAGGTATTCACGGTTTGGGCTGATGGCCAGTGCCTGCATATCCTGACTGTTTTTCAAGTCTGGGATGAACTCCTGATATTGATCTCCTGGTTTGGACTTTTAGACTTCTTCTTTTTCTTTGTCTTCATCTTCTTCTTTTTCTTTGTCTTCATTTTCTTCTTCTTTGCTTCTTCTTTTTCTTTGTCTTCATCTTCTGCTTCTTTACTTCTTCTTTTTCTTTGTCTTCATCTTCTCTTCTTTTTCTTCTTCTTTTTCTTTGTCTTCCTCCTTTTTCTGCTTCTTTTTTTTTGTCTTCTTCTTTTTCTTCGTCTTGATCTTCTTTCTCTTTTTCTTCTTTTTTTTCTTTGTCTTCATCTTCTACTTCTTTTCTTCTTTTACT